GAAGGTACTATAAGAGAGTGCATCTCGGAGGGTATGTTCAGTGTAGCCAAGTGGGGAAGCCTGGTGTCAAATCTCAGATGCATTGCTTGATACTGTGTAGCTTTGAGCAAGTGGGTTTTGTTTTATTCTTTGAGACAGGATCTCACTGTGTAGCCTTGGCTATCCTGGAATTCACTGTGTCGCCCAGGTTAGCCTCAAATTCATAGAGATCCCCTGCCTCTCAGCCTCTCAAGTTCTGGGATTAAAGGCATGAGGCACTAGCGGGGCAGTGGGGTACATGAGTTCAAGGCCAGCCTGGTGTACAGAGCTAGTTCCAGGATGGCCCAGGCTACACAGAGAAACCCTGTCTCAAACAAACAAAAAAACCAAGGAAAAAAGGACATGAGTCACTGTACCTGACAAATCAGAAGACCAGGAAATAGCAGTTGTTATAACTACTGGGCCAGTGCTGATCTGGTTCTAGAGTAGCCTCTGTGTACCCTGGAACTCCTCTGCAGCCTATATACACTCAAAAATTTTCATTTGCTTTGGATTTGAAATAGGGTTTCCCTATGTAGCTTTGACTGACCTGGAACTCACTCTGTAGAACAGGCTGACCTCAAACGCAGAGATCTGCCTTCTGCCTCCCGAGTGCTGGGTTTAAAGGCGTGCACCAGTACTGCCTGGTAGACCACAACCACCCAGCTTCTTTCTCTCTTTCTCTCTCCTTCCTTCATTCCATCCCTCACTCTATATTAAATATCTATCTATCTATCTATCTATCTATCTATCTATCTATCTATCTATCTAAACTATTTTTTCTGAATCAGGGTTTCTCCTATAGCTCTGTAGACCAGGCTGGCCTTGAACTCACAGAGATCCAGAGATCTGCCTGCCTCTGACTCCTGAGTGCTGGGATTAAAAGGTGTGCACCACCACTGCCTACTCTGAACATAATTTATGTCTGTGTTGAGCTTAATAAAAGAGAAACTGTCCTTTAGCTTTCAAATTAGGCTTTCCTGAGCTCAGGTGGCCTTTCGTCAGACTTGGCACTTCCTTTACTTTTCTCTCGGAAGACTCAATGCACAGCTAGAGGTGTTTTCCAATTGAGAACTGTCTCAGCAGCACGGGTGGCTGAGGACTCAGTCATCTGGACCTATAAGCTGGGGTACCCCTGTGCTACCCCATTCCACACTTACATACTCTTTTTTTAAATATTTTATTTATTATGTATACAATATTCTGTCTGTGTATGCCTGCAGGCCAGAAGAGAGCACCAGACCTCATTACAGATGGTTGTGAGCCACCACGTGGTTGCTGGGAATTGAACTCAGGTCCTCTGGAAGAGCAGGCAGTGCTCTTAACCTCTGAGCCATCTCTCCAGTCCACTTACATACTCTTTCCACCCTGCAGGTATCTTGGAGATGGCCGTTTCCATCTGGAGTCTGTCATGATTGCCAACCCTAATGTCCCTGCTTACAGGTATGGGCTGGGGAGGGCTGAACATCTGTGGCAGGGTGAGAATCTCTGCCCTGGAGGCCCTCATAGGCTATTCCACATCCCCTCTTCACTAAATGGCAGCCATCCCTGGCTGAGGCACATCTGGAATTTAGACCCCAAACTGCTCCTAAAACACTCCCTTCCTCTCCCCTGCCCTAGCTGGGGGACTGATCTCCTCAGTAACAATGTGGATTCCTGCCTGGGGCCAGATTCCTTAATTCCTTGCTTAGATCCTGTGTCGGGAACTCTCTCAGACAGTGTGACTCTGACTGTCACAGTGATCCTGGCCACCTTTCCAGGTATGACCCATATAGCAAAGTCCTCTCCAGAGAGCACTATGATCACCAGCGCATGCAGGCCATTCGCCAGGAAGCCATTGCTGCAGCACGCTCGGCCAAGTCCTGGGGCCTCATTCTGGGAACTTTGGGTCGCCAGGGTAGTCCCAAGATCCTGGAGGTGAGAGGGTTCGGCATCAGGAGGAGGGGACCGACAGGAAAGTAGCTGGAGAAACCTGTAGGCCAAGGTACCTAGCTTTGGCTGTTTCATCAGAGACTCCAATTGGGCTCCCTTCTCCCAACAGCACTTGGAATCTCGGCTCAAAGAATTGGGACTTCCCTTCGTGAGGCTTCTGCTCTCTGAGATCTTCCCCAGCAAGCTCAGTCTACTTCCTGAGGTGGACGTGTGAGTTCCCTCATCTTGCCCTTGTAGGGTGACCAGCTAAAGGGAGCTTAGAAACTAGGTTCTGCCCAGCACTGACTTAAGGCCACAGCCAATGGGGATTGCATATGTGGTCCTGAAATTTTAATATTTATCAAGCACTTATCTAACAGGGGCCATCCTTGACCATGAGCCACTGCTTTGTCTGATCATCAAGGTAGTCTGGTGGGTGAATGTGAGGGTACTGTGTTCAAACTTTGGTTCTAAGGGAGTAACTGCCCACAGAAGAACTACCCCCAGAAGGCTCTTAGGGACCTGGGGAGAGGCCTTATGGAGTAAAGGTCTGATAACCTGAATTTGATTCACTTAAGGTGGAGATAGGATTTCTCTGGCTATACTGGAACTTGCTCTGTAGACCAGACGGGCCTCGAACTCACATGTGCCACCACCGCCCCAGCTGGTGCATATGTGGAGCTCTGGTGTCCACCTTCAGGTGCTGTCCACCCTCTCTCTCTCTTTTAAATTTTCTGAGACAGGGTCTCTCACCTGGAGCTTGTAATCCATCTGTCTGGGCCTCCCTAGTTCTGGGGTACAAGTGTATATGACACACACACACTTTTTTTTTTTTCCGTTTTTTAAATGCAGTAGTTCTAGGAGTTAAGGTCAACTCCTTGGCTTACAAGGCAAGCACTTTAGAGTTACCTTCCCAAAAGTATATAGTACTCTTAACAACAGCGAATCAATACATACTGTTTATAAATGGTCCAAATAGTCATGTTTTTCAGTGTGGTACCTCAGAGAGAGGTGCTCTCCATGGCGTCTTTTTTTTCCCCCGTTTTTTGAGACAGGGTTTCTCTGTGAAACAGCTCTGGCGGCTGTCCTGGAACTCAGTCTGTAGACCAGGCTGGCCTCGAACTCACTGAGGTCACCTGCCTCTGCCTCCCGAGTGCTAAGATTAAAGGCGTGCGCCACCACCACCAGGCTCTACGTCAAGTCTTGCTGACTTCTCTTCCTAGGTGGGTGCAGGTGGCATGTCCACGCCTCTCCATTGACTGGGGTTCAGCCTTTTCCAAGCCACTGCTGACACCCTACGAGGTAACAGCTACATCTGGAAAATCTGCTGGGGAGTGAACTTCGTACATTCTGTCAAGGGAGGCTTGTGGGATGGCTGGCATGGGTAAGCATGTTCCAAGGTTGGGCCACCATCTTTCTTCGTAGTTTTGTTGGTTTGTGTATTTAAGAACTGGCCTGCCGGGCAGTGGTAGCACATACTTTTAATTCCAACACTTGGGAGGCAGAGGCAGACGAATCTCAGTGAGTTCGAGGCCAGCCTGATCTACAGAGCGAGTTTCAGGACAGCCGGGACTGTTATACAGAGAGACCCTGTCTCAAAAAAAAAAAAAAAAAATTGGTCTTAATACCCAGGATGGCCGAAACTGCAGTGCTGGGAGGCAAGAGCCACCGCACCTGACTCTCTGTGTAAATGAGAGTCTTACCTCACATTTCCTTTTTGTAGTATATATTCGATAATAATAGATAATACCCTTCTTAGGCTTTGGTCAGATTTACTAATGCAGAGGCCAAAAAAAAAAAAAGTATGGCTGTCATTTTCTTCCCTAGGCGGCCGTGGCCCTGAAGGACATTTCCTGGCAGCAGCCCTACCCTATGGACTTCTATGCCGGCAGCTCTTTAGGGCCATGGACTGTGAATCACGGTCGGGACCCAGGACCCCGGGGTCTTGGCCAGCTCGGCAAGGTAGGCGGGGACCTCACCGATGGCGGAGCTATGATCCTGCAGGCACAGCCTTGGCTTCAGGCTGCCTCCCCAGCGCCGTGACCCACGGCCGCCCCCTGAGGACACCGGGGGAAATGCTCGGTTGCCGGGTGGAGGTCGCAGTAGTGAGACCCAGCTGTGCCGCCTCCCTCAGGTGCAGCAGGGCTCCCGAGGCCCGTCTCCAGCCCCGGCCTGTGGGGGTTGCAACTGCGCAGACCGGAAGGCTGCCCCGCCGGCTCCCTGAGGCGTCTCCAGCCGCAGGTATTTACGGCCACACCCCACCTTTTTGTCTTCCTAGTGCCCGCCCTCCGCGTCCCCGCCTTCTGGGTGTTGTTGGCTCGGGCCCCGCCCCTCGCGGATCCCACTTCCGCCCAGTGAAGACCCGCTTCCGGTGGCTCTGCGGGATGGCGTCGCGGCAGCCCCTGAGAGTGCTGTGCCTGGCGGGCTTCCGGCAGAGCGAACGGGGCTTCCGTGAGAAGACTGGAGCTCTGAGGAAGGCGCTGCGGGGCCGCGCAGAGCTCGTGTGCCTCAGCGGGCCACATCCGGTCCTCGAGGCAGCAGCTCCCGAGGGCGCCAGGCCAGACTCCGGTGAGACAAGCCTGCTCCGGAAATGCCCCGCAACTTACCGGCCCCCTCAGCACAGCGGCGCGCCCTGATCTTCTCCTTTATCTGTGTCCAGCTCCTCGCGCGTCCATCCCAAGCTTGCCCTCCCCTTTCTCCCCGGCCCCTCTAACCCTGGTCCCGTGCTCTTCTCCCATCTGCTTCTAGGGCCCTGTGCTCCGGAGGAGCAGCCTCGAGGCTGGTGGTTTTCCGAACAGGAAGCAGATGTTTTCTCCGCGCTGGAAGAGCCTGCGGCGTGCAGGGGTTTGGAGGCGGCCCTGGAAACGGTGGCAAAAGCCCTGGACTCGCTGGGGCCTTTTGACGGACTTCTTGGCTTCAGCCAGGGGGCTGCACTAGCCGCTTTTGTTTGTGCCCTGGGTCAGGCAGGCGATCCCCGCTTCCCCTTGCCGCGATTTATCATACTTGTGTCGGGGTTCTGCCCCCGAGGCCTTGGACTTAAGGAATCCATCCTACAGAGCCCCTTGTCACTTCCTTCGCTTCATGTTTTTGGGGACACTGATCAAGTCATCCCTTCTCAGGAGAGTATGCAATTGGCTAGCCGATTTCTTGGGGCTGTCACCCTCACCCACTCTGGCGGACACTTCATTCCAGCAGCTGCATCCCAGCGTCAGGCCTACCTCAAGTTCTTGGACCAGTTTGCAGAGTGAAGGGCCAGCCAAATGTCTCCAAACTGCGCCCTCTTGCTCTAGCAGCCGCTGTCTCGTGCCCTCCTGTTCTTAACATGCTGGAATCTCCACCGTGGCATACCTACCGTGCTTAGTTGAAAGACAGCTGTCCCTTACTGGAGCAAAGAAGAGCAGGTAGCCTTGATAAGCATCAGAAGGCCCGTGAGAGGAGAGTGATGCTCAAATGGGCCGGCACCCCAATGATTGCCACACAATAAAGCGGTTTAGATTGAGGATTTTGGGGAAAGAGGACACTTTACAAGGCTCTGACTGGGTCACCTGCTTTTAGGCTTCCTAGAACCCAGTACCTGAGAATTGAGTGTTGGTTTTCTTTTAGTCCCTGGCCCTGTTCTTCCATAACTGCCCCATCCCTTCTGAACTCTGAGCTTGAAGGCTTGGATTGTACCAGGTGTTGCAGAGGCCAAAGACAGCACAGAATAAACTGCCTGTTCCTAAGGAGCCCTTCTGCAGAGTTTCTGAGATTGATGTTCTTCCTAATTATCCGATGTGTTGAGAAAGCCTTGGGAAGTGCGGTCAGTTCTGGGCACTTTAAGGATTACCGCCTTGCCATGTTCTTATTTCAGTGTTCACTCCAGCCACACGCTGCTCTCTGACTTGTGACAGACTGCTTTTTCTAGGACATCACAGGGTCCTACCTAATCCCAAGCCATTGTCCTCTCAGGAGCTTTATAACTGAGTAGAAGTTGAGGCTGGCATGGATACTCCAAGTCATCCTTGGCAGAGAAGTGGAGGGGCTGAAGAACACAGCCTGCTCTTGCAGGGGACCCAGGTTCAGTTCCCAGCACTCACGTGTCAGCTCACAAACAGAGGCTCTAACCCGCGGTCCCAGGCATGCACATGGTATATGTGCCCAGGGTGAGGCACATGCAGGCAAAGGTAGGATCTAACTTTGAGGACAGCCTGGTCTCCACAGGCCAGGTGTTCCCTTCCTTCAGACTACTCAGATGTAGTCTTCCGTGGGATCAGCCAGGCCCCTGGCTTCTTTAGTCTGGGACTTAAGACTTCCACCAAAGGTGCCGTGAGATAGATGGCTCAGCAGGTAAAGGCATTGACTGCCAAAACATGAAAACAAATCCGCATACACACTGAAATCTTTTTAAAATTAAAGGAAAAAAAAAAGAACGGAATTATACCCAAAGGTCCAGTTTACTGGTTGTAGGGAGTTGGTCTCTGCCTTGCTGTAGTCTTCCAGGGGTTACTTTCTTGACAAGAAGACATTGCAACAGATGAATTACTCCTATAAACCTATTGGCTTTGGCCCCTTAGTATTTCTGCTTTTCTGAAAATGATGGATCTGCAAATCAGTACTCAGACTCTCCGGCAGTCCTAGGCTGCCCCCTCTAGGCGGGCTTCGCTGGGGAAAAGGACCTGCACTCCTTGGGAGTCCTCTAAATAAAGATCCACGTGAATGGTCTTCAGGACCTGGCTCTATGAGGAAAAGGAGAAGGTTTAGGCAGCGCCTTATTAGGTGAAGCAGAAGTGCTCGTGCTTGGACTAAAGATTTCTGTAAATCAGAATGGTTGTCACCTCTCACCAGGCAGACTGAACCCCTGTGGGCCACGTACATGAGGAACATTTGTTCAATTGAAACTCTTAGAGAAAACTAGATCTATTTGACAGACTGCCCTGGTCATTCCTGGGCTGGGTATTTGAAAACTTGGGTAGAGTTTTAAATCCCTGGTAAAATATGTATTACTAGGAAAGGGCTTCTAATGGGACTAAGAACCCTCTGCAGGGGAGAGAAAGCAGAGGGAATCACTGCTGTGAAAGTTTCAATTTAGCTGTGTAGGCCTGGTGATGCACATCTTTAATCGCAGCACTTAGGAGGCAGAGGCAGGTGGATCTCCATAAGTTCAAGGCCAGCCTGGTCTACAAAGCTAGTTACGTAGAGAAGCTCTGTCTCCAAAAACAAAAGCACACTTTTTTTTTTTCAATTTATAGCCCAGGCAAATAAGGTCCAGAGGCTAGAAAATAACATAACATCTATTGAGAAATAACTGTACCAGACAAGGAGACAAGTAGAAGCCCATCATCTCATTTATTTTTGAGACAAGGTCTCACCAGAGTTCTGGTTAGTTTTGCACTCATAGAAATCCACTTATTTCTCTCTGTCTTCCAAATGCTGGGATTCAAAAGTATCTGCCACCATGGCTTAACTCATTTATTTTTGGTGCCTTGAACCAAAACCAGGACCTTGGGCATGCTAAGCACAGACTGTACCATGGAGCTCTCTCTGTTCAGCCCACCATCTTATTGCCTAATTTTACTTTGTAATGTCATGAAGTAAGTACTGTCATTAACCTAATAACCGAATTTTACAATTGAGGAAACAGACACAAAGGCTAAGTACATTACTCAAGATTGGGTGATTCGGATCCAAAAGTTCACATTCTTGCCTGTTGCCATCACATGCCTTCCTCCCCGTTGTTTTGAGACACAGAGGATCTCACCATATTGCTCAGGCTAGCCTGGAGCTTCTGAACTCACGGGCTCACTTTCCTCAGTCTCCTGAGTAGCTGGGCCTGCATGTACTTATCACCACTGCTTCTGGCTTTGGTGGTTTCTCTGCTGTAGAAAGCAGGCAGTAACTATTACTTCACTATAGGCTAAATGCCCAACTTGGGCCTCAGCTTTCCAACCCGTAAAATAATCCTTGGGGAAGAGGGCATGGTTTACACTAAATGCTTTCTAGGATACCAGACAATCGCAGCATTGTATAGGCAACCTTTTGCCCATGTTCTTCTGATGGGTTCAGAATGTCCCTGTAGTTTGTTTCTTCTGCCTCGATTAGATCAGAGGATTTTTAAAGCCCTGAAGACAGTACCCTAGCAGAGTCCCTCAGCAACCCTAGCCACAGATTTGGCCTTTGTGGTACTCCTTGTTACGGCACGTTGGATACAGTACTTAGAGACCAACTGAAGGGAGAAGGGATCAGGTGAACTTGCTGTCCTGGAACTCCCTGTGTAGATCAGGCTGGCCTCAAACTCACAGAGATCCTCCTGCCTCTGCCTCCAGAGTGCTAGGATTAAAGGCATGTGCCACTATCAGCCGGCAAGGACCCTATTAATCATCTTCTGTGGTTCAGGAGAAAGTTGGGGGGACAAAGTCATAGAGAGGTTGTAGCTCTATCAGGAAATGGATTCTTTGCCCTCTGCCTGCTCACCTGAGAGTTTCTGGAAGAAATGTGTGATAAATTTCCCTCTCTAGCCCCTTTAGCCCTCTGCAGGCAAACGTGTTTCCTCTTCCCTTCTTGAAGGACTTCTGGTCTCACCTGTCCTCCACACCCCCCTCCTCAGGAGATAAAAATTCTTATCTCAGAACAACCTAATTTTTCGCCACCAGTAGGTAGCAGATAGCTCGACTGGAAAAACCGGACAGTCACTGAGAAGGATGCTCAGACACTCCGCGGACCTGGCTTGTTTCTGTGCCTGGGTGGATGCGCAGGCAGCAGCCTCATAGGCTGCCTCTCTGAGCACACCTCCTGCCACCCCCGCAGACACATCGGATGTTGCGTCGCCGCCCCGCCTCCTCTTGCTCTGCATCTGCCCAAACCCGGGCTGGCAGAACTCGGCGTGGTGGGGAGCGTGGGCGTGCTGCGGGGCGACCATGGCTGTAGACTGTTACCTCCGGTTCCCACAGTAACAATCGAAAGCCACGGTTGCCCTGGAGACGCGGGGGCGGGACTGTCAGGCTGACGTCAGCAGCGCAGGCGGCGGGGGCGGCTGGGGCTGTACGAGCGTGTGCAGGACCAGCGCCCACAGCAGCCCACGGGGACCTTGGACAGGCGGGCCCGAGGGAGGCTCCTGCGCTGCATCAGCACCGCGGACAGCGGCGCAAGGAGGCGCGGAGGGGTCCGGGGTCGGCGGTCCTGGGGCGGGGCCAGGCGTCGGTGGCCGTGACTGGAGACTGTTACTGAGGGCGGCCCGGGCAGTAAGCAGTCTAGAGCCAAGGTGCCGGCGCACTGCCCGGGCGGGGATGTCCCGTCGCCCGCGGCTGGGGCGCTGCTGCTTCTCACGTCCCCCTCCGCCCAAACACGCGCGGACAGGGCACGCGACCGTTGACGTCAGAGTCCAGTGACGTCAAAGATGTCCCAGTGGGGAGGCACTTCCGGCAGTGCGGTGGCGGTGGGGGTGGAGTGGGGCGCCTGGCCGAAGCCCCGCCCCCGCCTGGTCCTGAGAGGACAGCTCCACTCGCAGAGGCGGGAAGTCCTGGGCGCAGTGGGACAGCCCGAAGGGACGGGACAGGACGGGGAAGGGGCGTCTGGGCAGCATGCGGGGCAGGGGTCCCGAGAAAGTCGCAGGGTCGAGGTGTGCGTCTGTCTGTCGTGGCCGCCCCGGCTCCATCAGTCGGGGCCATCTAGGCTGAGTCACCGCTCTGCGGACAGGGAGAGAATTGAGGGGGCGCGTCTCCTGGGACTCCAGCACCTTCTCCCCACTTTCTTAGAAGGATGGCGCAGGTGCCGCTCAGCTTCGGGAAATGGGGTCGAGGGGCTCGGTTCTCCGCTCGATGTTTCTCCAGAGTGTCCTGCGTCTTCATTTGGGTCCCGGCAGGTGCTGCATAGGGTTGGGTCAGCCTCCGGGCCCGGGCTCCTCCAAGCTGCAAGGAACCTTCGTCCCTCCCACTCTGTCCCCTTCCTCACTCCGGAG